GCCAGAAAAACATGGACCTTGACAAAGGACAGGGAGACAAGTCAGCACCCCAGGGCAGCTCTGCCGAGCAACCTTTCCTGTTAACGCTAGCCCGGGCTCCCTGCGTCCCACAGATGCTCCGGAGGAGGGCAAAGTCGAGGGCGTTCCTACTCCCCTTTTCTGAAACAAGTCCTCTGGTGCTTAGGGCAACTGAATGAATGAATGGAGCCTCAATTCCTCTAGTATCTCCCTCTTCTTTCCCCACATTTGCAGGAGGAACAGTACAGGGTATGTGACTTGAACTAGGCCCTGTGCTATTCCCAACCTGTACACTTAGGGACTCGAGTTATGAATACTTGAAATCCGGTAAGTACAAGAAAGACTATTCGTGATGCTCCAAGTAGCTCAGAAAGGTTCTGTGTAATCACGGACTGCAAGAGACTCAAGTCACTCAAAATTTCACCTGTCCCTTTTACTATTCACTCTGTTTGTTTTGTTTTGTTTTGTTTTGTTTCAGAGACGGGACCTCACCCTGTAGCCCAGGCTGGAGTGCAGTGGCATGATCATAGCTCACTGCAGCCTCCAACTCATTGGCTCAAGCGATCCTCCCGTCTTAGCCTTTCGAGTAGCTGGGACTACTGGCACATGCCACCACGCCCAGCTAATTTTGAAACTTTTTTTTGTAGAGACGGGGTCTCGTCATGTTGCCCAAGCTGGTCTCAAACTCCCGGCCTCAAGCAATCCTCCTACCTCAGCCTCCCAAAGCGTTGAGATTAGAGGCTTGAGCCACCATGCCCAGCCTATTCACTCTTTAGAAATGTGAAGTGACCCCTGAAAAACCTGGAGGAAGAAGGAAAAGTAAGGATCCTGGATAATTACCCTGTGGGAAGCCATTTTAACCATACTGCATTAAGACATTCATTGCTTCTGTCACTTTCTTACTGGCTCCTAACTTCGTTTCATGTTTCCAAAGGCATTTAATATTCTTTTCCTAAATTTCAATGCTGCTGTGTTTTAAGATAAATTATCAAGTCTACTGTCACACACACAAGCCATGGACTTAGCAATGTGCCATGATGTTGCAATTTTCAAGTCATCTTCAGAGTGGAGAAAGTAGTCCTATTTAAACACTGACAATCACCTCCAAGAATATCAAAAGAAACCTGAAATGCACACACTCCTTGTTCATTAGGTAACAAGTGTTAAGTCTATCATATTTTATGTTACAGCAGCTGCTCATAGAAACCCTGTTAGAACGTGTTAACATGTTAGATTCAATGTAAAAATGAAGTTCAGTTGACTATGCCATAGAAATGTGTTTTGTGTTCACATGCTCTGTCTGCTGGGACAGAAGTGGACTTCCTCCTGCTCCTGTCCAGGGCAAATGTGGATAAGCAGGCTCTAGTACTGGCGTTGGAACCTTGCTCCGCAGGTAGAAATGACCACGGTGAAAACTCCACGTGAGCTAAAGTTAGCGTGGGAGTTAAAACTGGAGTCCTCCTACCCCTGTGCCCAAAACCCTAACCAGCTTTCCTTCCAAACGACAAATTCATTCACGTCTGAGAATCTCGCGTGAAAGGGGTGAGAGAGACTTACATAATGACTAATTTGTGAATTACTGCCAATGCACTGCAAATCAGTGTCCAAATGACTGGTTTGGTCACTGGAGCACTTACAAAGAGGTTGTGCAAATGAAGGAACTTACCCTGTCCACGGGAAATGAGAGACTCCTACAGCACAGAACTAACTGCTTGCTGGTTTGAGCCCAAAGCCTTTAGCGCCTACCTTCACCTGTGCTTTGCCTCACAGTCCGCATGCCGGGAAAGATCTGGCCGGCAAACACCCACTGCTTAAAAGTCATCTGCCACCCAAATCAAAACACTATGAAATTAATAAAATTTGGAGAAAATTGTGTAGGTAGCAGTAAAGAAGCTGAATATATATATAGAGATAACCCACTATGCTCCACAAAGGATGTGGCATGGCCAAATGGCTGCTGAGATCTGCTCTAAACAATGACCTCAGTGTCATTCTCATCATTTTCGTCCTCTTCCCTTGCCCCACCAACACTGGAGCAGCACTTCCTCTGTAGATCTTCACAGCCCTTGTCATTTCCTTGCTGTATGACTGCAGAAGCATCCTCCCAGCACCTCTTCCTTCTCTTCTAAAACTCCCTCAATAGTGCAGACGGGGATTCTGTCCCCATACTAAAGTGGATCAAGTTCATTTTCAGTGACAGCTTCACTCCATGCCTGCAGCCTTTCCCAGGCCCACTCTCAGCTCTTCCTTCCACGCCATTTGCCTGGGTAGCTGCCCTGCCTTCAAAGTCACTTCAGAAGTCGACGTCTCCCCAAGATACTGCATTTCCAAACACGCAACCTCCACAGCTTCTTCTGGGTGCCTAACGCATTTATGTATTTTGAATGAATTTTTTTCTTTTTGAGACACAGTCTTGCTCTGTTGCCCAGGTTGGAGTACAGTGGTGCAATCTCAGCTCACTGCAACCTCTGTCCCCCGGGTTCAAGCAATTCTCATGCCTCAGCTGGGACTACAGGCATGCGCCACCACAGCCGGCTAATTTTTGTATTTTTTTGTAGAGACGGGGTTTTGCCATGTTGTCCAGGCTGGTTTTAAACTCCTGATCTCAAGTGATCCACCTGCCTCGGCCTCCCAAAGTGCTGGGATTACAGGCATGAGCCACCGCACCTGACCTCTTTGAATGAATTTTATTGATGCTTAAACCATGTTATGTATCTGTATCTTCCATCTTCTACACCCACTCGTACTATCTTAGATTCTAAAATCTCAGAAGGCAAGGCTCATGTCTGCTGGCTTATTTGGTGCCAGAGACACCAGAAAGTCGGGAGCAGAAAGATGCTTAATAAATGCAATTTGAAAATTGGTGAAGGAAGTGAATTTAAAGCAAAATGGGAGTGAGGAAAATGAGTCACACCGAGCTTTCAGTTTTGCTCGTTACCCATGTGTGAACCCACGCACTGCAGGAGCGCAGCGCTTCACATCGCTCATCCCAGGGCGTCCACACAGACGCATGTTACATTTTCACAGTGCTTTATGCGCTCTCCTCACGGGACATCTGTACACACGATCACATTTGATTCTCACAACTAGGGAGCCTGGGAGGAGGCGGGGGAGGTCTGTTCTTGTTTGGCTGATGGGAAGAATGAAGTTCAGAGAAGGAACCAGACACAGTCAGTGAGTGACAAAGTAGACTCTGGAAAAAAAAGAAAATCATTTCTCCAAACATTATGACTCAAATTTACAGTTTGTGTTACCACTAGAACTTTTAAAATAGGAAAAAATAGACATAAAATTCAACTGTTCATTGTAGAGTGCTTCCATAAGTGGACTCCAAAGCCACACACTGTCAACACGAGGACCCTTCTTTTCAGTGGATGACATGAACTGAATGTCTGAAGACCGCTAGGGTATGGTGCTGCCCACACAGCCAGTTTGTTCTGAGTTTGGTGACTGGTAAAACTGTTGTGGCAGGCGTCGAGAGGAAGCAAATACAAACTGCGTGTGCTTTATGACCACCAACAGAGTGCTGGTGATCCGGGGGTCTGCTCACACCACACCACAACCACTGGCGGTTTATTATACATCATCTTTGGTCTTGACATCTGTTTAAAAGTGTATTGTTTCTAAGAATACAAATACAGTTACAATCCCTTTAAGGTAGTTAGAAAGACATCAAAATTGCTTTTATAGTCAGCTCAATTTGAAACAGAGCCCTCTTTCTGCAACGCTCAAAGGAGGTCACCATTTTTAGTACACTCTGTGTGCAAGCCCGTATGGCCCCGAGCAGAACTGGGAGAGACGGGGCCATTTATCCCATTTGCTGTCACACGATTTGAATTCATTACAAGGTGTCCATAATAAAATTCTGCTTGCATCTCTGATATTCTTAATAAGATATTCAGGAAACCTGGTATTTTTGAGTGACATACAAAGAGAATCGTTCAGTTTGGGGACAGTCGGGTATTAAATCAAGACCAAGAGAAATTTTGTATTAAACCAAAACCAAGTCATCAAGCCCAGAAGGGGGCATTCTCTCCAACGCTCCTTGGAACCTCCGAGGATCGCCTGGTAAGATGCTGCTGGTTCTTTATTTAACGTCCTTGAGAGATTTACTCTCCTGCACTCTTTCGCTTTCCGAGGTGTCCAGATGAAAACTGGCTACATCCTAACTTCCCAGAACCAACTTTCCTCATACTGTAAGACTCTCAATCTGTAAAACAGGCTTCATTAATGAAGGGCTGAAACATGGTTTTGAAATCCAGTGATTACACTCTGGAAACCCGTTTTAGCTGTTTCAGGGGTCTTAAAACTTGACACAGATACACAGGTTTTGATTAGTCAGAGCCCCAAATTTTAGCCCCTTATCTGTTATTTAATGAAAAGTACAGTCATGCACACATCAGGATGTTTTGGTCAATGACGGTCTACATATTGATGGCAGTCCCATAAGATTATAAAATTGTATTTTTACCATACCTTTTCTATGTTTAGATATGTTGAGATACACAAATACTTACCATTGTGCTCAGTACAGTAACAGGCTGTACAGGCTTATAGCCTAGGAGCAATGGGCCATGCCACACAGCCTAGGTGTGCAGTAGGCTATACCATGTAGGTTGTGTAAGTACATTCTAGGATGTTAGCACAGCAACAAAACAGCCTAATGACACATTTCTCAGAACGCGTCCCCATCATTAAGCGATGCATGACTGTCTTCGTTGATCTAATAAAAACAGGTTCATAGTGAAAATCTCTTAGCTAAGCCTGCTTTTCTTCTGAGTTTCACTCAGGTACCAGAAAACAGAATGGCCCTTGCCACTGTTTTCTTTGCCATTATTTGGAAAGTGGGGGAAATGTTTACATCGGGAGTAAATCTTAAGCGAGATGATCCTCTCTTAGGCCCAAAGAGCATAAGACAATTTTAAGAGCCACTCGACAGAATAAGAGCACAATAAAATCAGAAATGAGACGCAACTCTCTCCTTTCCCTTGTGGTCTCAAAGCTCTTTTACATTTCTTGATTCATTACACAGAGGCTGAACTGAACTCAATTTCATTTCCAGGCTCTGAACACAGGGAATGTGACTGGTAGGGATGTATGTGTAACAATGTGGTGGTGCTGGGAATTCTTAAATAACTTTTGCTTACGGAAGATTTCTCATTCAAACATAATCTGTGAACAAATCAACAGCAAAGTGGAAGAAAGGATCAGTGAGGACCGCTTGAAAGCCTCATTCTACAGGATTGGCCTGAGCGATGGGTGCTGACCTGGGACGTGACCAGGAGTTGTATATGCCCAATTAAGAAACAGCAAATACAATGAAGAACGTAGATCTCAACTTTGATCTGTATTTTGGATAACCAAATAAATATAAAGCTTTTTGCCCCGCTTTGGGAGGGATTTTTTTTTTTTTTCTAGAACAAAATGAAACCTTCAACATATTCTTCCACTGAAAAAGCCAAAGTTGCGTTTCAGACATGAAGGTGAAGGGTCCTTGGAGCTTAGCACCAGAATAAGGAGGAAGAATGTGGGTGATGGCTTCGTTTGGAGTCATCAGGCTCTACAACCTATCATTTGGTTTCTCACTAGTAGCTTTTTAAAATTCCCAAACAGTCTTAGTATTCTCGTTGTTAATGTTACTATTAAAATAAGTTCCTATGGAGTAAAAGAGAAAAATCAAGCTGTTAATAAAATGTCTTCAAACCTCTTTTCAGAAAACAAAGCAGCAGGTTCATCGTACACGTACCAGTCTCAATGCCACAGGAACGCTTGGTTCCTTTCATCCCTATGCTGTCTATAAGTTCAATCTCTGCCTTTAAAAAAGAGACGAATGCAGTCGTTTTGTTAGCTTAGGTTTGTGTTTTGTTTTTGTGAAGTGCTGCTGGCTTTTGGCCAAAATACGTACATTTCAACCGAACCCAAGTGGTCAACTGCCAGCCCAGTGAAAGGCTCGTGAGCTGTCATGTGACATATGGCATCTTCTAAATTGCAACTTGCTCCCTCCCTTAGGCAGGCTGCCCAGGAGTTGCTCCTTCCTCTTCCAAACACCCACTCAGTTGATTTCCTTTTGGTCTTGCTTCCACGGGAAGCGGATACTTGGCAAATCTGCGAGGCGAGGCCGATCAGCTATGGAAGTTCTGCACGGTGCTCTGTTTCTGGGAGAGCCGGAGGAGCTCCTCGCGGATCGCTTTGATGAGAGAGGCTGAGGAGTGGCCGGGCTGGAGGTCTTCCGTGGAGCTGGTGGGGTAACCCAGCCCAGGGCCCTGCAGCCCCCGGTGGGGGAGGTTCCCGGGAGGAGCTGAGGGCTCCCTGCTTGAAGTCCTTGGCACCTGAAATAGCGGTGAAGAAGAATACTCTTGATGTCCGAGCATGTGTGTCTGAAAAACATGGCAAACGTCACTGTACTTCCTACGGAAGAATAAGCCGAGACGTCAAGTGCAAACTGGCTTTAGGAAGGTTCCCAGGACCGCCCACGTCCATCCACCAACTCAGCCCTCCAACAGGGCCCTGCTGCCTATGCCGCAGGTGAGGGGTGAAGACACCAGGGGCTGGGGAGAACAGGAAGGGAGGGAGGCTGCAGTGCCCCATGAGGTGAAAGGTCGGGTGATATCTGAGAGCTGAAGGAGGTAAGCGGATCCACGCAAGGCTGACAAGGGGAACAGCCGCCTCTGTCCTGGACTGGAGCCCACGCAACCATCTTCCGCTTTATCTAGCTGCTGTCTCCTGTCTCTGTGTGTGTGCCTACTGTGGGCTCTGTAGAGCCTTGTCTTTAAAAACTTACCTGCACTAAAGCATAAAATAGTTTTGCTGATATTTGCAGCATAAAGATTTGGCATTAGTTTCACGAGAATTATTACACTTTTCAGATTTTTTTTCATGTTTTTTTCCCTCCCAGTGGAAAAAAATGTCTCTTTGCATTTATATGTAAGAGTATTTAAATCTGCATACGAAAAAACACGCTAGGATCCAGTTATTTGTGAGCCAAACGTGGCATTCCAGCTCTAGGTTCTTTCTACGTTTCACTTCTCCAAAGAGTGACCGAGCAGTGCTCCAAAGTGGATGTGACGGGAAAACCTTAACACCCCATGCCAGGCACGGTGGCTCACACCTGTAACCGCAATCCTTTGAGAGACCAAGGAGAGAGGATTGCTTGAGGCCAGCAGTTCAAGATCACCCTGGTCAACATAGTGAGACCTTGTCTCCATTTTTTCAAAAAAACAAAACACCAAAACCAACCCCAAACACCTCATGAAGCTAAGCTGGGCAAAATGAAGGCAAAAAAGGAGAAATGGCAGCAAACTTAAAGCAGATAGCTGAGACTCTAAGTATAACAATGTCTCCTTTAGGGAAACGCCTTATTCTGAAGTTAATGTCCTTTCACTGAGTAAGGGCGTCCAGCCATGAAAGGAATTGAGTGTGTGTGTTGGGAAGGCACAGAAATGCAGCGGACGCTGTAGCGTAACGATCAAGAGAAAACAAAAAGTAATATTCTGGGTGGCATTTTCAAACTTCATTAATTTATCCCCCCAGGATATACAGTTCTTGAGAAAAGCAAATGAAAGCACTTGTAGGAATTACCGATGCTCATATTGAGTGAGTGAGTGAACAGAAGTCTCAAAAAGAAAACCTGTGCCTTAAAATATCCCCAACTGTGTGCTTATTACAAAATTACCTACGCATGGTCATAATACGAATGACGTTAATAAACCCACAGTGAAACACAAATGCTGCGGAAGAGCATGAATATTTATACAGCAATCTCACCAAACATCAACTCCAGAGTTGTCACCCATAGATTCAAATTTACTACTAAGCTTGAACTCTGCCTAGAGAAAAATTATACACTTCCTAAAAGCTAGATGCTAAAAACTATAAGCCAAAACACAAGCAAGGCGGGAAAACGTGAGAGAGGTTAAAACTTTTTTAAATGTAGGTTTTAAAAAGGGACCCCAAAGCAGAAGCTGTTAAATTGAGGGATTATGTCTTTTTTTTTTCTTTTTTGAGACAGAGTCTCACTGTCACCCAGGCTGGAGTGCAGTGGCGCGATCCCGGCTCACTGCAACCTCCACCTCCCGGGTTCCAGTGATTCTCTTGCCTCAGCCTCCCAAGTAGCTGGGACTACAGAGCCCACACCACCACACCCGGCTAATTTTTTTGTGTGTATTTTTAGTAGCGACAGGGTTTCACTATGTTGGCCAGGCTGGTCTCGAACTCCTGATCTGACTTGGCCTCCCAAAGTGCTGGGATTACAGGCATGAGACACCGCGCCTGGCCTATGTGTAAATTTTAAATGATGACCTGAACAGGAGATACTCACGGCCTCTCTTCGCCCTGCTTCGTCCTCCCCGTATGAAGGCCAGCCTGGCCCCCCGTACTGGCTGCCTCTGCTTGGGGGGATTTCCACTGGCTGAGCTCCGATTCTGCTGGCAAGCCCCACCTGTGTCAGGTGCTGGATCTGGGAGCCTGGAAGGAACACGGTGGAGTGGCCTGGTCAACATTTATAGGAGAGTATGGCTGCCGAGGAAGGCACTGTCAGCTCTGATCACTACACTCCTTAAGGACAAGGGATCAGGACTTGGTACCAGTTCTGTCTCCAGAAACCTCACCTCAACTGCCATACTATCAGCATTTCCTGAGGGTCCCATAGGTAGGAAAATGTACCACGAAGCACCATGGACCAAGCAATAAAAATAAACAAATAAAAGAAGAAAATCCCATTGCAAAAAAGTCTGAAACAGAATTCTTGACTCCCTGACATTCATCCCTAAGCCTAAGCCTGTCCCCCATTTCGCCCTCCCCATTTCCACCCAGGGCCGTGCAGCCCTACTTGTTCAGATCTAAAAACCCATACTCTATGCCCAACTCCTCTTTCCTGCGCACCTCCTACCAGCCCATCAGAAAGCCCGCGGGCTCCTCTCCTGAAGCACTGCATGAGGATGACCCTTCCTCCCTGTGATGGAACCACCACCCCGCCCCTGATGCAACTGTTTCCCCACGGGTTCCCCACGTCTAGCCATGGTGTATTCCCTCCAAAACACCCTGTCAGAAGACACTGTCAGCTCTGACCACTGCACTCCTTAAGGACAAGGGATCATGACTTGGAACCAGTTCTAGCTCCAGAATGGCATTTCCTAAGAGCAACAGACCATGAGCTTCTTGGTTCCTGGACTCTGATTTTCTTTTACTTCAGAGGCTGACAGAAAGGCCCTTATTTTCGTGGCTAGACATTAGCACTGGGGATAAACGGTACCAAGAAGGCACTTCCTTCCATCTCTGCGGCAGTTACCAACGAGGAACAGCTCATTTACTAAGAAAGGCGTGAAAGGTTTGGGAGCCACCATGAAGCTGAAGCCTGGCTCTTTCTTGCTTGTGGCTTCGAGATTCACAAGGAGCTGGATATACAATACGCTTATTTTTTTTCCTTAAAAGGCAGGATATGTATCTACTTAAATCCAGCATATTAAAGTATATATTCATTATAACCCATATTGCGTCTGTAATGTAGCCACAATACAATTAAAACCACTCCCCCAGCCTCACTGGTGAGGTGAGCTGATGGCAGAGCCAGAGGACTCTCTAGAGCTAATTACCCTCCTACACCCAGACATCCGCAGCCTCCTGTTGCCATGGAAGCCAGGTAATACACAATATTTTTCTCCCGCATCAACTTCTGTCATATGGAAATACACCTATACTGCAAATTAAGGGAGAAAAGTGATCCTTAAGCACTATGAAATAGAATACTTATTTCCAAATTTGGAAATTTCTTCAAATTCACCAGTGATGCTCAGACTGGAACCACAAAGGCTCCAAGCATCCACAGCTAAAAGAGGCACCTCCTCCATCTTTAAGTCTATTCCTACTCTAGTTCTTTAATTAACAACCTCAATTCTCTCAATTCTTTCTTTTAAGAGATGGGGTCTCACTACATTGGCCAGGCTGGTCTTGAACTCTTCCTAGCCTCAAGTGATCCTCCCACTTTGGCCTCCCAACATGATGGGATTATAGCTCTGAGCTATAATTGTTGGTACCTGACCAACAACCTCAATTAATTAACCACATTGAAAAAAAAAAAAAAGAACTCCTCAATGGTTTTATTTGGATATTTAATGATAACTAAAAGTCAGGAAAAGCTGTCCTGGCTCTGGGCAGAGCAATGCACTCTACTGGACCACTGGGTCAGTTACTGAAAAATCCTAACGGTATTAAAATGATCAGGACTGCCAGCACTCTTTGCCCAACAGACATTGTTTGAGCAAATCTTGCAAAATGCTATAAGAGCAGTGCAGTGTTCCCCATTTCCAAAGGCTCAAGCAACTGCACAGGGAGAAAAGTACACCTTCTGTGTAAAGCCACTCCAGTAGCTGAAACCATCATTCGGTAGGATTTTATATCCTGTGTTGTTCACTTAACAATACAGCACAGGCTTCCTCCATGAGTCAGCATTGAGCCCAGCAAGCCGGCGTTTGCACTCCAGCTCAGCCACTGACAAGCCATGTGACCCTGAGCAATGGGCTATGGCTACTGCTGAGCCTTGATTCCTCACTTCTCCAGCAGGGATAAAAAATCTACCTTAGCCGGATGCAGTGGCTCACGCCTGTAATCCCAGCACTTTGGGAGGCTGAGGCAGGCGGATTACCTGAGGTCAGGAGTTCACGACCAGCCTGGCCAACATGGTGAAACCCCATCTCTACCAAAAATACAAAAATTAGCCAGGTGCAGCGGTGCATGCCTGTAATCCTAATCCCAGCTACTCGGGAGGTTGAGGCAGGAGAATCGCTTGAACGCAGGAGACAGAGGTCACAGTGAGCCGAGATCGTGCCACTGCACTCCAGCCTGGACAACAGAGCAAAAACTCCGTCTCAAAAAGAAAAGAAAAAAAAATCTGCCTCAGAGGGTTATTTCAAGGATTAAAGACATAAAACAAATCAAGCATCAAACACATAGGAGGCAACTGGTAAATCTCAAATTCCCCTTTTCTGGCTTTTCATGACTTCTTCATCTTAAGTAGCTGCAGGACTTACTCAGGGATGCCCTCACTCCTGAGTATCTGAGGAAACTAACAATTCCTTGCTATTATGCAAACAATGCTGTGACAAATATCTTGGCACATGTCGTTTTTCAATATTTTGGATTTTAGGAGAGTGAGCCTGGATTTCCAGAACTGGAATTAACAAATCAAAGGTTCTGTAGGTCCTACTGCCAAACTGCCTTCCAAAAAGTTAGTAATTTATGCCACCACTGAAAATAATAGTGACAACAGTCATGGCAGCTAATATTTACTGAAAGTTTATGCCGGCCGGGCGCGGTGGCTCAAGCCTGTAATCCCAGCACTTTAGGAGGCCGAGACGGGTGGATCACGAGGTCAGGAGATTGAGACCATCCTGGCTAACACGGTGAAACCCCGTCTCTACTAAAAAAATACAAAAAACTAGCCGGGCGAGGTGGCGGGCGCCTGTAGTCCCAGCTACTTGGGAGGCTGAGGCAGGAGAATGGCGTGAACCCGGGAGGCGGAGCTTGCAGTGAGCTGAGATCCGGCCACTGCACTCCAGCCTGGGCAACAGAGCGAGACTCTGTCTCAAAAAAAAAAAAAAAAGAAAGTTTATGCCATGCTAGGCACTATTTTGGGCACTTCTGTCATCTTCTTTTATCAGCTAAACAACCAAGGAGGTAAGTACGGATATTCCTAGTACACACAGATGAAGAAACTGGATGCTAACTTTACCATACCACATTATTATAAAAAGAATTTCATGACAGAAATGGTGCATTATGGTGTTAATTTGCAATTTTAAAATAATTTAAAAACTGGACCTTTTTCCTCTTCCCACTGACCTTTTCAGGTTGGCCCACTTAATTTATCTGAGGTATCTTCTACAATAAAAATACTTCTTGATCGTGAGGTGCTGTAAATTTCTCCTAGGTACTCTATTTTCTTTTTTTGAAAATAACTGGCAATTTTCAGACAAATACATGTTTCATAATTTTCTATAGTTAAAAACGTAATCCTTCTAATAAATCTTAACATTTTCTATTATACGTTTTTACACAATTTCATCTAATAGAAATTTTAAAATAATTTCCTTTTGAATGTTTGATATGTATAATTTCTATATTCGTTCAGATTTTAAACTAAAAATTAATACATCTGAATTTTGCTTAGTATACATGCCAGGCAGGGAAGTTCAAATACCTAACATTTCGCAGGGGAATCAAGACTCACTGCAAAGCAAAGCGCCTGTAAAGTTCAGGAAAACCTAGAGGATTCCAGGATATATTATTTGTTTTGCTGAGTAAGAGACAATGCAAAATAAAAGAATTTCCTAGAAAAGCCATAATGAAAAAATATCCACCAATTATTGCAAATTTGGAATTGGCTTAAACTACTTGCTTTTGTTTTGTTTTGAGATAGTTTTGCTCTGTCACCCAGACTTTGAGAGTCGTTCATTTCAAGCTGAAAAAACCACCTTTTTGAAAACGAAATCTTGTTTTCATGCCATCCAAAGTGCTCAGACCTAGATCTTTCCATTTACAGTAAGGATTTGGAAACGTTTTTCCTGGAGGAAGTGTGCCGTGAATTTCACATGAAGGGCCTGGTTCCAGAGCCAATCAGCAGACAGCAGCTTTAGGAGCTCGGCCCCTCTGTCTCCTCCCTCTCCACCTCCATCTCGGTCAGGATCTGAGGGGAAACAGCCCTGAACAGCGACAGAGACCACTGCAAACTGATACTCTGAGACACCTAAAATAAAATCTCTTTCAATTTAGCCAAAAAGTAAATGTCCCATAGCTCACAAATGGAAGCTAAACAACCACATATACCTGTGGTACCCCCGACAGGCCGAGGCCGGGCCACCGACGGCATCTCCTCCGAGTAGATCCCTCTGGCAGCAAATGGGGCTTCAGCGGACGCCTGTGGCTGCTGGGGGTCAGGGGGCACCAGCTCTGAAGACTGCAGCAAACCGGGGCCAAAACCTGGTCTGAAGGCAAAGCAAACCAGCACATCAGGACTCCACTGCACCCTGGCCTTGGTATTTCATGAGGTCCACCTCCAACCTTACAGAAGGTAACACTTATTTGTCTACCTGCTTAGCCATTTCCTCTTCTAGAAAGGGAAGAGATGTTTCTCCTGCTCCCCGAGGGAAGGGACTTTTCTATTTGTTCACTGCCCTTCCTCCGGCGCTAAGAACAGTGCCTGCAATACAGTTGATGCTGACAAGGCCAGGGCCTGCTCATCTCCAGCATCTGCCCAGTGGCTGTGCTTCCTACCCCTGGCTGCACGTCGGCATCACCTGGGGGGCCTGAAAAAATCACGACGCTCAACACTGCACCCCAGGCGAATTCAGAGGCACTAGGGGTGAGACCAACACGGCGGTAATTTTTAAAGCTACAGATGATCCTGCTGTCCGTCAAAGCTGAAAAGCAGTGTTCTAAAGCAGCGGATCGCAAACTTTTTTTTATCTCCAGACCTCTTTTGACTCATAAAAATTACTGAGGACTCCCAAGAGCTTTTGTTTATGTGGATTGTATCAATATTTACCAGATTAGAAATTAAAATGGAAAAAAATGTAAATACTTATTTAAAAAATTTATTTACAAGTAACAATTAAACTTATATATGAACATGATATTTTTTGTGAAATTAACTATTCATCAATCCTCCCTCAAAAAAAAGTAGTGAGAAGAGTAGCGCTATATTGTTCAAATTTCCTTAATAGAAGGATTCTCATAGAGTTTGCATCCTGTCAGTTGCTCAATGTTAGGAAGAAAATCTGGCTTCACAGAATACATAGTTGCAAAAGGAAGGAGTATTTTAAGAGCCTTTTCAGATAATATTTT